ATCACCTATTATGAAGCAAACAAAAGTAATTTCCTCTCTTTTGATTTCTTTTTTAAATCTTTTTCCTAACTGTGGGTCTAAAATGAACTGAAACTTAAAGAACCTTATGTTCTAGAAATTGACACACATTTAAAGCTTCAAAAATAAATAATTAACTCTTAATTAATTTACATACTTAATTTGTTTTTCCTTTATTTACAAAAACATTTTAATTATAAATGTGAATATATCAATTTGCTTATAAAATAAGTACTTCAAGTCATCTTAATAAAGATTCCAAAAATAATAAATAATATTTCTCTTCGTAATTTTTACATTTATACGTTCAAATAAATTGCTTTAAAAACGCAATTCTTATGATAGTCTAAATAAATATGAGGTTATAACAAAACCTTGAGAAAAAAGAAATTTAAATTTAAAACGAAAACATTCCTGCTAATTTGCAAGTGAGACGGATATCCATAATTACTGAGGGTGATCTTAAATGAGCTGAAATTTAAACAATTCTTTATTCAGGAAATTGACACATATTTAAAGTTTGAAAAATAAATAATTAACTCATAATTAATTTATATACGTAATTTTTTTTTCTTTATTTTCAAAAACATTTTGTCCATAAAGGATTACAGATCAGGCATGATAACAAATGCTAATCTACCAATTAACGTTGTAAGACATAAAAAATTAATACTTTATTTCATCTTAATTAAAATTCTAAAAATAATATTTTTCTTAATAAGCTTTATATTTATACCTTCAAATGAATTGCCTTAAAAACATACTTCTTATGATAGTCTAAATAAATAAGAGGTATAACGAAACTAAAAAAAATGAATTTCCTGCTATTTTGTAAGCGAGACGGATATCCACAAATAATGATCGTCACAGGTTTTTGAATTTGCATTCAAACATGCAAATTTTGTGTACTTGTGGAGTTGGGATGCATCCGCAATGGTTAAGCAAGGAAATAATTATCTTTGTTGAAATAAAACCTCCTGAAAAGGGCCACATTTTTAAAAGCAAGAGGTAGACTTAAATATTACTGTCAAAAATCATGATTTTTCATACTGTGCTGAGAAAAAAAATAAGGTCAAAATTATAACTGTATAGTAAAATTTACCATGTTTCTAGCTGTATGGGAGCACCAAAAACTGAACCAAAAAATAGTAACGTTCACAATTTCATTTCATCAACGTTTAATAACATTAAAAAAATTAATTTTGAATAGTTTTTAAAAAAATATCATTAATTTTTAATATGACAATATATCTGTAATAACTAATTTTGCTTCTATGTGTGTTGTTGGTTTTGTCAGTATATTTCCCTCTTTTCATGCCTTTTATTTAAAAGCAATTACAGTTTCTGATATATTTTTATCGAAAAAATTCCATTATTATCTAGTTAATAATTTTATCGAACAATTTTACTGATAATTCAGCACAAAACTGAAGCAGTAACTTTTAGCAGTAATAAAACTGCTTTGAAGCATTGACATACAAATATTCAAAATTTCTCACTTACTCTTGCTTGCAAATGAAATAATTTTATCGGGGAGAAATTAAAAACATTAATGTTATATTTTCGCATGAAAATTTGCAAATTTGACAAATTAACATTTGATTTATCTTTAGTTGACATTTACCACGGCTGTTATTTTTCAATGATATTTATGCATTTACTAATACGTTAAACAATATATACTTAGATGACTGATAATTAATCTGAAGAACGTTAATGAATTTAGTACAGAATACTCTGATAACTTAACCTTTTTAAAAGCAATATTGCAATTTTCAACCATACTTGCAACACGCTGTTGAAGGTAGTGTATACTTTGTGATTTATGAATAAAGCTGAAAAGCAATGAATAAAGCAAAGATCATAGATTATTGAGTTGTTTTGCTTACTATACAACTCATGGAAACAAATATTTTAAGCTAAGTTGTAAAAAGTGAGATTTTATCTAACATATCTCCATGAAGTGCAGTATTGTTTCTTTTAACATATTAATCATTATATTTTTTTCATTATCTTCGCAAAAATTTCTTAATTCAGTAACTCAAAATTTGTATTCAAAAATCCGATCTAGTTTAAAACTGAAATAAATGGTAGTTTTTAAGACAAGCATGATTATTCTCAAAATTTGAAAATAATTTTATTAGAATTAGGTTTTAGTTTAGAATGTATTGATATAAATAACTCAATTATAATAACAATCACTTTAAGTTTAACGAATATTTTATTGAATGGTTTTAATAAAATAAATAATTGTAAATGTAGCAAGCTCATTAACTCCTGACACTAAAAATATTATTTTCTGAAATTCTGTTATATTCTAAAATTATTCTATTCAAAAATTATTCACTCAACGATCAGCAAAAAGTCAATAAAACTTCTTTCTTTTAATCACCGTACCTTTTAAGATGTTTGCCTGTTTGCCTTCTACATTTCAATTATATTGCGAACGTAACGTTTTCCTTTCTCTTACAAGTATGACTTTGAAATAAGAATGACATAATGTTTTCATATTTTTATAAAGGCAAAATACCTTTACTCAATTTTATAAAATAAAGTTATCTGCCTGAAAATATTTATAGTAGGTATGTTGTATCTTACGTATGTTCTTTCTTAATCGTTCTTTTTTTAAATCACTGCGATGATTCTCGGCAGGAACCACAATCCTTTTAATCTGGCACAAACTGCAAATATTCAATATGAAAAAAAATATGTGGATAATTTAGATAGTCTACTGTAAGAAACAATAACGATCTTGTATTTCAGTCAATTAAAAAACTTTAACTAACTCCAATATTTAATAAAACTAGGATAGTTTAAAACTGGTTAACACTACACTGTAAGAGATACTAATTAAAAAGTGTGAGAAGCTAGTCAATTTATGTGTAACTGACCTCCGACTTCTTTAACCATAAAATTTGAATTTTTGCTACATGTTTAATTAACTTATAAACTGTATTAATGTTTTTAAAAAATTATTTCTAAAATATATTTAGTAGAAGCGTTATAAAATATTAGAAATAATTGATAATTTTGACAGATATCAAAAGTTCAGTAGCAATCAGATCAAATTCCAAATTTTGTAATTTTAATTGTTTTGTCTTTTTGTCGTACTTTTCTACTAAAGAAAAACAAACGTTTCCATAAAAAACAATCATATTAGGTTATCGCTAATACTTCTAATTTTGTGCAATGTATGTACTATTTAATTCTTAAAAACTTTAAAGAAAAGAAAATGGACATTGTTCATAATAAGTTCAAAACTCAAGGAAGCTCAAACAGCTTGTAAAAATGGCTTATTTCAGTCCTTGCTGAAATTGATAAATTGTTTAAAACATTAATTGTCTTTTCCTAATGGTTACACAATCATTAATCGCATTTCAATGATGTTCTATAATGCAAATAACATTGGTAAATTAAAAATGGAAAGTAAACAGTATAGCTAAAGCAGTTACATTCAACTAATATTTGAATAAATAAGAAGTACTTGCAATTAGATGTGCCTTATCAAAATTTCCGTTCATAGTTAAATAAATAAAATATGTTTTTAGAAGGACTTGCGTATAAAAAAGTTTGAATTTCAAAATAAATAAAGCATACGTCACATTAAAAGCAGTGTCTATTATTTATGTACCATTGTAAATAATTATTTATATACTATTTGCCAATACAAATATTATTTTACCCACGACGGTTCTCAAAATTGATTTGATGCTAATNTATATAAACAAAAAAATAGTTTGCAATAAATTGCATAGCAAGAAATATATCACTTTTTTAACGTTAAAGCTGGTAGAAAAAATACAAATGATAGATTTAAATTTGCTGGTGAAACTAACATCGCGCCGCCAGGTTAACTCAATGCATGATGACAGGTAATAATACCGGCAATTTAACGAATTCGCAACTTGTTTGTTTCTAACAGGTTTATTCGTTGGATTTGACCGCAGTGTGAAAGATGGTTGTTCTCTTATTCCTTTTTTATATTTATACACAAAAAGAATTTTATATTTTGGTGTTTCTCAGACTTCAATGATGCAAAAAAAGCAGAATGTTGAAGAAAAAATTCTGAAGGTTGCAAAAAAAAAAAAAAAAAANAAAAAAAAAAAAAAAAAAAAAAAAAAAAAAAAAAAAAAAATTAACATTTACATAACCTAAAAATTGAAAAGAAAATCTATTTATATTGTTTTTGGTAATTATTAATTATAAATAATTTGGATGTAACCTTTTTTTACAGTTATGCTGGAGATAAAAAAAAATTCAAAATTATATGAACTAAAACAATACTTTCACATTAATATGCTTTAATATTAAAATTTTTGATCATTATTATTTTTAAAATTTACATGTTTTAATTATATACTAAAATAAGCTTAATAAGAGGCTTTTTAAATATTATTCTGTAACAATCTATTTTCTATTTAGTGCTATGTATTAGTGCTTTCGTTGCCTTATCGATACTTTTTTAGATGCGGCTCATACTAATCGCTAAGGTGTAAAAATCCAACTTTTAAACGAAAGCAAAAAACAACCTGAATAAAGCACAAATGAAAGTACATAAATGTAATGAAATGTTTAGAAATAGAAAGTACATAACTTATGTACTTTCATTTACGCTTTATTCACGCTGTTTTTTGCTTCAGTCTACATAGCACTAAGTGTACCCTATCCTTTGTTGGACTAACTGTTAGAATTAAAATTAAAGAAATACTTTTGATTTCAAATTTTTTATTTCATCCCTGTTTCGAAATAATATAATATTGTATAATGTTTAAAATAACATATAAAAACGGCTATTGTTTCTCTAAAAAACGGCTGAATATGATAATTACAATTAAAATGAAATTACATAAAATCAATACAAACTAAAAAATAAAAAAAATAGTCTTTTTCTTTACTGATAAACTCATAAGTATTTGCAAACTGCCGATTGATTGTCGGCCATAAAATTTTACCCATAAATTAAAATTTTAAACAAAACTTACCAAATAAGGCAAATAGTATTTTTTCTTGGAGAAAGGCACATTAAAATATGGCAGTTAATTACCAAGACCGAGGAAGCTACTTTCAATCAATTTTATCATTTGTATCACGGTAAGATAATCATTTTATTATATAAAAGCGCAAATAGATAATACAACGCCGCATTACTTTACCGTTATCAGAACGAAACCCCTGTTACGTGTAGGGATTGGAGGCTTAACGCATCACTGACATATAGTTGGTTGTATTCACCGAAACTTATCAGGGTTGCCACAAGGGTGGGAGCACGTGTTCGCCAATGAAACTGGTAAATAGCGCCAAATTGTTTTGTTATTATCTTCTTAAGAACACCCCTTCAAATGATGCGAATAAATACTTAGGCTACATTTTTGGCGTGACTCTTTCCATTTGTCACTGTCTACTCAATAGTTGAAGCTTATCTTTTTAAGTAAAGAAGGTTTAAATTGAATTAAAATTTACGTACCATTTTTTTTTCAATACTTAAAGAATATATTCATTGTTAAAAAAATAATTTGTAAACACATATTTTTTAAGCATTTAGAATTATACGATTTGTAGATGTTTATCTTGATTTTTTTTTAAATCATCTTAGTAATACCCTCATTTGGAAACTTTTTAATGCTAACTGTTATAAATGCATGTTTTGATCTAATATATATGTATGCAGTAATATATCTAATGGGTTTTTGATTAATAATTAATTTAATGAATTTTTTAATTCAAAAACTTCTAGGGTTTTTAAATTTTAAAGTTCAAACAGCTTGAATTATATATCTGTTGGATTTAAAAAAATTTCACCAATGAACTCGTTGTTTTTATTATTATTTCGTTCAGGTAACACTTGTTGTAACATAAAGGTATACAAAAATGTTTATATTTTCAAATACACAAATTTTTTATGTACACATAAGAAATTTAAAAACAAAACTTCATGTCCCCTTTCTTTCTTTCTTTTTTTTTTGTAAAAATCTATTTCAGGATCTATTTCTGGAATCTATTCTAATCTATTTCAGTTTGTAAAATATTTTCGAACTCGTAACATGTAAAAAGGGATAGTTTAAAATAAATATTTTACCTGCTAAAAATATCTCTTATAGAAAAGGAAGAATTTGGATTTTCCATGCAAACTCTCAAAATCTGCTGTTAAAAAATATTCTAATTTTCAAAATTACTTTCTTAATACGATTTATATTGTACAATCTTACCATTAGTCATCAAAAATTTATGCCTGTCTAATTGCATGTCTTTTTTTTTTTTTTTTTTTTTTGAGTCATTAACCCTTTGACTCATAATTTTATTAAACATATTTTTGATACTTTCTTTATTATTTTAATCAATAATTTTTCAAATTTGCACTTACTTACAACTATTTATAGCTTAGAGAAACAATTATTCATCAGTGAAATTTCTTTAATTTACAAAATCAATTAGTGATTCTTAAATATGAATGGGAAAATTTTTTTTTTAACTTCTTTATGTTTGGATTTTATATTTTAGTACAAATACAATTCCGATAGGCTTACAGATTTTTTAGTAACTATTAGACGGTTTTATATAATTAAAAAAAATGCAAACATATAGTTTTGCCTGTAATTTGAGAGTTAGAAAATATATATATATATAAAAGGGGCGCAGGTGACCTACCTGCGTCGAAGGGTTAAAGCGAACTGGTGGTAAAAAAGTATTGGGAAGCTCGAGAGCAAATGGCATGATAGTCAAAGCTTGATATTTTTATTTTATTTTTATAACCGTCGTTGAACAGCCAACCCAATTTTTGGGTTCACGACTACTAATGTCCAACTCCACCCCCTTGTAATTTTGAACCCAATCCAGAAGACAAGGGAATTCCTGGATCAAGTATTGGGAGAAATTTGCCTTCGTGGAGGACTTTTCGATGGAACTAACTCGCATTTGCGTTACATGGAGAGGAAGACCATGAGAACCTCCCACGGTTAGCCTGAATACAAAGGGACTCTTACCCATGATCCGTCTACCACTGAGGATATTTCACTTCAGCACTGTGGTCGGTGCTAGCCGGATGCGGATTGACCAGCCATCGGAATAATTCGAACCCGGTTCACCCCATTGGGAGGCGAACGCTCTATCCCCTGAGCCATCACAGCTCCAAGGCTTGGCATTTATCAAAAAAAAAAATTTTGAAGGTGAAAAGAAAAGAAACGCATTTGACTTAACTGGACTGTACAATGAGAAAATGGAGAAATTAGCACTTCAAGAAATATATTTCATATTTCAAAAACAAAAAGTTAAATAAATGAATAATTATAACAATTACTATTATAATCAATAAACTGAATTTGAAGAAGCTGCTCTAATTTTTTCACCTCTAAATGTCGATTTTTATATTTGTTTCTTAAACTCATAACATATCTTGCATTAAGATTAAAAAATATTTTCTTTTTTCAGTTTTGTTTTAAAATTTTACACTAATGGACAAACAACAAACTTTGGCTATGAGTAGGATATATGTTAATTAAATTATTTCTATAAAAAATAATCCAACAAATTATTTCCAGTTCTAAAAAAAAAATTCGTTAGTTCGTAACTAAATTAGAGTTGAATTCTTATTTTTTATTGAATTTTCAAAGTTAACCGATTTTACGGAATAAACTTTTTAACGTTAAATCTGGTTTGAGAGTTGTTTAGTAAGTAAGAATGTAAAGATTTATACGTAATTTTTAGAGTTAAGAAAGATATTTCCATGTTCTTATTACATTCTTTTTTAGTTCTACTTGTTTCTGCTTATTAAGAGTAACATATAATTAAATTGTAAATCAAGCGTACTACAAAAAATTGGCTTTAAATAAGGCAATTCGAGGATAGATAACCATTGAGTTTTATAACCAAAATAAAAGCACTAAGAAGAGAGACACAACTCAGCATGCACTCAGCATATTTTAAGCAAACGAAATATTGAGAAAAAACTATTCAAAAATTGTTCGAAAGTAAACTTACAAGTGGCTATCTCTTCTTAATATCGAAGAGAGTTGGCCATTCAATACATTGAAGAAAGTTAACCATACATAACAGTACAAACATATTACAGTTAACCATAAAAAACTTACGATAAGCTATAAAAATTGAATTTGATCCTGAAAAGTAAGCAAAAATGAACCTATTAAACAAACGCTGTTTTATTTATTTTTTACAACCGTCGTTAAATAGCCGACCCAATTTTATGGATTTGCGACTACTAATGTTCAAATCTGTAGCCTTTTAATTTTGAACCCAATCCAGAAGACAAGGGAACTCCTGGATCGAGTATTGGGAAAAATTTGCCTTCGTAGAGGACTTTTTGATGGAGCTAACCCACATTTGCGTTACATGGAGAGAAAGACCACGAGAACCTTCCACGGTTAGCCTGATGGCAAGAAGACTCTAACCCATGATCCGTCTACCACTGAGGATATTCCACGTCAGTAGTGTGGTCGGTGCAAACTAGATGCGGAATTTGTATCGACTGGGATTTGAACCCGGTTCGCCTCATTGGAAGGTGAACGCTTTATTCCCAGAGCTATCGCAGCTCAAACAAGCTCTATTGTACAAGTTTAATCAATCACTTTCATCAACTCATTTTTGGCAAAGTTTTCTAAATTTTGCATATATTTCATGGAGCCACTGCGCTCTCCACACTTATCTTGCTTAATCATTATTATTAGTTACGTTATTGTAATCTTGTCTACAGCCAACATACGGATACACTTAAAAAGTACCAGCACTCAGGGTGCCGGTACTTTTTATCGTAAAATCTATTTTTAGCGGAACTTGTTACAGAACAAAAAAAAGGCTGATGTACCATAATTTTTAAAGTAATAATTATCATGAAATCACTGAATTAGTCTAATTCAATAAATATTGCACTTTCTCTGATAAATATGACACACCCAAAAAGCGGTACTTTATACCGTAATTTGATCCGGGATTTTTTATAGTGTATTTAACAAATTCTGAATCCGTAGAGTTCGATAATTTGTAGGTTTTGATCAGATAATATGCTAGGTCTGTGGAATCGCATTTTTGAGAAAATAGCACAAGGAGAACATAATTCTAGTAAAACTGATGTGCAGTTTAGTGATGGTAATTTTGGTTTTAAAAAAATCAGATTAATAAAACGAAAATATATGATATTTAAAGCATTCATATGGTAACAATTTACCGGGAATTCTGACTTACAAAATTATACTACTTATTGCCACACATTTAGTAAAAATTACAAAAATGAAAAGTAAATTTAACCAAATAAATGGTTTTATGACCTGCTCTAATGGATCATGATAAAATTACCAAATTTTACCCCATTTATCAAATTTATCACATATTATAAAGTCATATTTTATTGTTAATTTTACCCAAATCGTTGCTAAAGTTAAAATGCTAAAATATAATCGTTAAATAAATAAATTAAATGAAATAAATAAATTCATTGTATAAATTAAATATATAGAAAATTATGTAAATTAATTTAATCAATTAATATATAAATATATAAATAAATGAATAATAAACGTATTAATAAATAAATAATAATTATTAATAAATATATAAATGAGTAATTAATAATTACTGATAAATGTATAACTAAAGTAAATAAATAATTAAAGTAAATAAATAAATAAAACCTAGAAGTTTCATTTAAACCAATTCTTAAATCAATAAATTATTTATTATTTATGGTATCTAACGTTACTTTTATATCAGGTTTTTTTATTATTTTTAATTTTATTTTTCTATTCTAGATACGCTATACGAACTTGAGTGTTTAAGACCTACCATAGTAAATGAGTAAAAAATATTGTAAAAAATGATCTTACACATTGTTTTTTTTAATTAGGTTATGTTATTTTTTTAAAAAAAAGCAATAGTCACTAGGTACTAGGTAAAACAACGACAAAACAAACATTATTATTCGTTATATCTCTTAACGTTCATTTTATAACTTATATAGGTATATATATAAAATAGCTATTTTTATAAGTCAAGTATCGTTACATATTACAAAGTGATAAGACATTTAAGCTTTAAGTAACAAATGTTCTAGGATTAGTTTAGTCTATAGCACGATTGTCGTGAATAAGTTATGAGAAACAACGTTGTGGTTAATAAATAAAGAATAAAATAATCTCACGTTACAAGTTTTTTTAAAGCATTTTTTAATATAGATATATATATATATATATATATATAT